GCTTGGACCGGGAGCGGGAACTGCCTCTGTGATTCCTCTGTCACGCGGCCGGCAGGACATTAGGCTGTTGACGCGCAGACGGTGGGAGGTTCATGGCTCTGGCGGGAAAGGTCAAGCGATCGCTGTGCAGGGAGGCCGTGCCGACCGAGGGGAAGGGCTGAGGCAGAGCATGAGCCTCTCCGGCCGCACCTCCCGCTTCCCCCGCCTGCCCAGCTCCCGGTGACCGCTGCGCTGCACGCTCGGACCAGCCTGGCCTGCGGGTTCTGTATGCGCCAGGAGCACCAGATAAATGCTTCCAGTCTCTTGTGTTTGGGGACTAACCTACGCGCATGCATATATATATATAAACACACACACACATATGTACATATATATGTATTAATATATATTTTCACGGATCTCAGAGAGGAAGGGAGTGGGAGAGAGAGAGAGAGAAACATCAATGATGAAAGAGAATTATGGATCGACTGCCTCCTGCGCATTCCACACTGGGGATCGAACCTGAAACCCCGGCCTGTGCCCTGACCGGGAATCAAACCGTGACCTCCTGGTTTATAGGTTGATGCTCAACCACTGAGCCAAACGGGCCAGGGCCTGGGCTTTCATATTTTTTAAAAGTTAGGTTAGGTACTTGTACTGACTGTATCTCTAAAAATGCTTGTAGCTAACAGATGGCCTGCAAGACACCTTCTTGCTTTCCTGAATGAATGAGAAATGAAGAAAAGCTCTGAGAGCGATAAAAGCAAGCCCAGGTTCCGTTAAAAAGGAAACGTTAAGGTTTCTAAGTTTGATTTTTGAAGTCAGTTTTTTCTTTAGACTCTAAAAATGCATGTAAGAAAGACAAGGTTTTTATTTAAATTTTATTTTTTAATGACAGTTTACATTCAATTGTTATTGTATTATTGTTATTATTTTTATCCTCACCTGAGGATATTTTTCCCATTGATTTTTAGAGAGAGTGGAAGGGAGGGAGGAGGGGGAGGAGAGAAACTCTGATGTGAGAGAGACACACTGATTGGCTGCCTCCCACACATGCCCCGACGGGGGCCAGGGTTGGACCCTGCAACCGAGGAACGAGGTCCGTGCCCTTGGCTGGGAATCGAATCTGTGATCCTTCAGTCTGCGGGGCAACACTCTAACCACTGAGCCGACCAGCCAGGGTTTGGCCCATTTTACAGATTAGGAAACTGAGGCCCAGAGGGCTTAAGCAACCCCAAGTCCCACAGTTAGGAGGAAGCGGAGAGGCTTGGAACGCCAAGGCCAGCACGCCTCCCCGCTCTTGCCCCTGTGCGCACACCGGTTTAATGTCTCCCAATTTTGAGGAGCGTTGGGAAGGGGAAGGGGAGCTGGTGAGGTGGGTTCCCCGAGAGCCCAGCCGTCTCGGTCCCCGTTGTCTTCTCCTCAAAGCTTCTGACGCCCACGGACCCCGCACGCCTCCTGACCTCTGGCTCACGGGACACGCGGCCGGGCGCCGGGAGCTGGCGGAGTTTTCTCCTTCAGGCAGCAATTAGGGTTAATTATTAGCAATTAGGGGCTCGCCGCATGCTCTGTGGACCTGCTGTCCTTTCCCAGGTCCCCTGTCTTTCTCTGTGTCAGCAGCTGGGCCCATCTGCCCCTCGGGTCCCCCGTCCATCACCGTGGCTGAGTCCCCACAAAGCTGGCAGCGGGCCATTCTGACAGAGGGCGGCTGGCCGGGCGTGGTGACCACCACGGGCCACTCCCGGCTCGGCACCTGCACCTGCACGGACCCTCACCCGCTGGCCCTCCCGCTGGACGGCATTTCTCTGGGCTCCCGGAGCCCAGCCGGCTCACCTGTCCCTCTCCTCCCAGGCGCTACTACAAGGAGACCTCGGGCCTGATGCTGGACGTCGGCGGCTACATGAAGGCGCTCGAGGTACCTGCCCGGAGCCCTCCTCGCGCTCCAGGCTTCCTGGAGAAGGGGGCGTGCTCAGTGGCCCTCCTAGTGGGGCTGCCCCTGCCCCTGCCCCT